TTTTTTTTTTTTATATACATATATACATATACACACAGGTACTGCTACGCTTTAAAGTTATCACAAATGCAGCTATCAGTAGGGATGATGGGGTTATCCTGTAGGGATAGAAACAGCTACAGCAGCAACAACTAATCATCTATTATCCTCACTATAGAACAAACCTGTGTCTTCAGAGAAAAAATGAAAAATGCCGTCTAGGGACATAAAAGAGAAGATATCAGGCAATCAGAATCAGTTGTCTGCACACATGACTACCTGAATCTCTCTAATAACACTTCACTGAAGGCTTTAGCAAGACTAATTTCTGGCAGACTGCACCAGGAAAGGGAAAGGAAACAAAACATTTTATTTATTGATTGCCACATTTCAGGTTAGAATGAGACAGAAAGCAGTACGCATGAAACTGAAAGGCTGTTAGTAGACTGTTGAAAATTGTTTTTTTTATGTGTATTTCATGGAAATATTCCAGCAAATGTACTGCAGTAATTCTACCTAGTTTTTAATTATCAACTGAATAGCCATCAAACAATAAAACTGATATTACAAAATAGGTTTAAGTCAACAAACCGTGCAGATTGTAATAAAGCACTGATTAATTAATTTTGCTATGGCATTAATTTGGATCATGTTTGTTATAGATTCCTCTAACCAGTTAAGACAGTAGATATCAATAACAATAGTGAGACAGGGAAGTTAAAGCTAATTGGGCAAAATAATGCTCTAGAAGCATATTAATGCAGAATATCTTAACTGTAAAAATATCTATCTTACTGTGTCAATTCGAGTGAGATTATATTAATTACAGAAATGCTATTTTTATCCATCATTTTGCAATCTATTACTGACAAAAACAGCACTTTAAACCATCTAACACATGGCAGGTGAAAATGAAACCAAGAGTGGAGCGAAAAGAGATGAAGCACTTACTTTTGTAAGTGTGGCCTGATGGATAGAACAGACAGATGCAAAGCAAATGGATAAAAAATATATGATTAAAATAATAAAATGAAGATATGAGGAGATGAGCAGCATGCAAACAACATGAAAATAATGTCCACAGATGAAAATGGGATCAATTATAAGTCGATAGGCACACTAAATGTGAAGCCAACAGGGAGGAGCAATTTCCTCTCCCAAAAACATGAATCCCCAACCAACAGAGGGAGCTACACACTAAATAATTGGTTCAAGAATCACTACAAGGCCTGCATTTAAAAAGAACGATGGATTAAACTCTGAGTCATATTCTAATTCATGGTTTTCAAGCATTATGTGATTACAAACCATGAATTGAGAACAAAATCCTGTAAAACTGTTGATTTCAAACGATTGTAAGAACAGATCCAAGTGTGACCTATTGGTAAAATCCCAAAATGGTTAAACCAGTCGGACATTTAACGTTCCTGAATTGTCAGATTTCAAGGTCCTTTCATGGAAAAACTAAACAAAACAAGGAGGTCAGTGAGTTAGTTCCTGTTGTCAGTTTTACTCCTTGACAAACTTGGAAGGGAGCACACAGACTGAAAAGACACTGTTGGAAGCTTTTGTGACACTGTCCAAACAACCTCAAAGCCAACTTGTGTGTTACTATCCAGCAGCTGACAAACTCTGCTCTTCAGTGAGTTTTTATAGATTAGTAATGGGATGGGCGAGCACTTCTTACTCCAGGACATAGAAGAAAGGGCCTCAGGTAATATGTTTGTGGAGACTCAAGTCATAAGGGTCTGATAAAAGCTCTACAGAGTGCTGTAAACTGTGCAACATGTGCCACTTACGGACAGGCTCCGTCTTGAAGAACTCAGCGGGACTGCTTTCACCTTCACCCTTGCCGTTGATGGCTGACAACTTCACTTCGTAGCTGGTCTCTGGCTTCAGGCCTGTGATAGTCACCTCACTGATGGAGCCTGTTACAATATATCAGAGGCAGTGCAAACCCCGTTGAGAACACCTTGATCATTTTGATTAGCGGTAAAACAAACACAGACCCCCGTTCAAACAATACATGCATAATTAATTCCATCACAAGTAAACACTGATTAGCTGAATTCTCATTTCATTCCAACAATGTTTAAACAACAGATAAATCTATTTAGAGATGGTCTAAAAGGTCTAAACTCAGAGATACACAGAAACAGAAATAACTGACAGCTGTATCACAGCCATCCTCTTGCAGCGTGAAACCTAAACGTATAGCTCACTTTTGGTATCAGGATCACTTTATACATATCATTAATCTTGCCCATTTCATCTCAAATTAATATTGCTACTGTTTATTAATTTATTGCTTTATCTTGGTTCATTATTTTCATTTTTTATCTCTTGTCTAACACAATATAACTGACATATAAAAATTTTATTTAATTCAGAGTATCTGTACACCAACTATATGAAAATGTAGTACTTATGTCTAAAACAATTAACTCTGTTCCAATGTTATACATTACATGAAACAAAAACCTTCACACAAAAGCAATTTTTCCACAAAACAACACCATCATTGTTGTTCTGATTTGTGTTCTTACCATCCTCATAGACTCTATGCACCCAGCTGCCCCTTCCTTGAGTCCTCCACTCTGCTCTGTATTTCAGAATAAGAACACCTCCAGTGGATTCGGGCTCCTCAAACTGGATCTGTGCTGTGGTGGAGAAGGGTCTCACCTCACTGATGGATGGAGCTGATGGCACCTCTGGTAAAGGGAGGAAATGCAGTGTGATTACAACAAAAACTCAGATTGCAGCACACCAATGCTGTCAGACTCCATTGTTCCATTACGCTAACAGACTGAGCTCGCAGCTCCTAATAGAGCCAAAATGCTTCTAAAAACTGCTTCAGCTTTGTAAGAAATCTATGATTTGTGACATAAATGCGGTTTCTCAGGCAGTGAATGCTACATAAAAAAAGGCAGGAAAAACATTAAAATGCTTCTACACTGAGAGTAAAAGACGATCCCAAGTCAGCCTTAAAGGACGATAATTGCACAAAGAAAACCACAGAAAATAGCGAGCTGCCTGTTTTTTGATAAACCTTTGAGCTGGAAAAAGAAATTTTAGATGCATTCAAACACCCTGCAGTGAGCTAAGCACAAATGTTTCAACATAATGGTAATATCCTAAAATTGTAGACAGCTGGTATTGAAGGATGTGCAAAATTAAGTTGAATTCAAAGACTTTTGCAACTATGACTACCTACATTTTGGATTTGTGGAGAAAATTGTCTGACCTGTAGTGTACACAATTAATTGGCCATATCTGCTTACTGGTGTCTCTTCTGACTGCACACACTCTGGTGTGAGCACAGTTCTGTATTGAATCACTTTGATCTTTGAAATGAAAAGGCACACTGTGATTACTGTGGTCGCCCATGTTCTGCTCTGAGGGAAGAATGTGGTGTTTTCAATTCATTTACTTCAGATTGTGGCTTTAAGAGTGGCATTATCTCTCTGCTCTCTGTTCCATTTGTCTAGTGTGCGGGTGAATATACAGTCTATGGTATCAGCTGGTGGTGAAGTGTTATAACTTTGATTAATTGTCTGTTCATTCATAATACGCACATATTAAAACCTTGGGTAATAATATATACTGTTTTACATTCAACTGCAATCCTCAGAGCTGTTGCTTTTTCTACACAACCAGAGGGAAGGGATGTAAATTATCTGATGGTGGTTGCACTGCCTTTTTCATCTAAATGTCTCATCTATATAAACAAACACTGCTCTGTGTAATCTCACATTGTGGTACATGTTTTGGTCTAATATGTTGTGAATATGGGTGAAAAATCTGTTGCTTAAGCCTGGAGCGAGGCACATTCCTCACAATTTAAACTGTGTGTTACAAACTGACCTTAACTACTGATTATTTATTTATTAACACTAAAATTAACCTTCTTAGAATGTATAGAATATCTAAAACTAGAAAAAGCAACAAAGCGCTGTGAATCACAGAATCAAAACTGACCGGCCTGAATGAGGAGGAACTCCTTGGACTCCGTACCCATCTCATTTGAGGCAGTGCAGTTATAGCTCCCAAAGTCATTTTCAGACTCTGGGGTTATCTAGAGGAGGGGGAAAAAAGAAGCAATTATGTGAAGGGCAGTGTTCCAAAACAGATGAACAAACTTGTGTGTCGAACACTCTGAAGGTGACCTTTTTGTTTGTCCATTAGAGTAGCCTATTTTTATTTGTTGCTCTGAGCTTTCCTGCTGCTGAATTATTCATTGGATTTTTTTCCACAATGGATCTGTAAGAAAACCCTTCAGTTCAAGTCTATGCTCATGAAATCTTGATGACATAAGGGGGGTGTGTGTGTATGTGCACACATGGAAGAACTATGTGTATATGTGTACATTTATTTTATGGACTGTAAATTGTGGCCTGACACGTGAGTGTGTGTGTGTTTGTGTACCTGAAGGTAGCTGGATGATGGAGTTCTGAAGATCTTAATGTTAGTGGTGTTTGAGTTGGGGAGCTGCAGTCCGTCTCTCAGCCACACAATAGATACATCATTGGGATGAGCCTTGACCTCACAGCTGATATTGACAGCGTTTCCCTCCCAGGTATACACTGCCACTGCACCATGGATCTTAGGAGCATCTAGTGAAAAAAGGCTTTTAATACAGACTTTCTGCCAAAACAGAAAGCGTTTGTGCTTTTAACAGTGCCTGGAAATAGTTGAACTGAAAGAACTTTATATGATTTTATTTTGTTCAGTTAAAAAGGTAGATGACTAGCATAGCTGTTGTAAATTCACTTTTCCAACAGCGTACTCATTTTGTAAACCTAAACACTTCCAATAAGAGAGAAGGAAATACTTACAGCGGACCTCCAGATATGCCTGCTGATCATCCTCTCCAATGGCACTGCGTGCTGTGCAGAGGTACTGACCAGCGTCTGTATACTTGACATACTTCAGAGTGAGGGAGGACACGCGAGCATCACTCCTCACCACTACATTTCCATCCAGACTCTAAATGAGAGCAGAAAATAACTTGGTTTAGGAAAAACAAACCACGCATCAGTTATTTTCCATAGCCATATTTGCACATTTACATCTACACAGCACATTTCTGCGGAAAGATGTGTGACCTGAATAAAACAAAATGCTTAAGAAAAGCCTGTCTTTAATGAGCAGAACAGACATTAATGAAAGAGGCAGCACACTGCGCTGTGGAAACATAAGGACAGAGTTGACAGTACAGGGGAGCTTATCAATAATTAATGACAGAAGGCACCAGAAACCATCTAGAGCTTTTCACACAGAGGGCTTAGCAACTTGTGAAATATGCTGATGCATGAAGCTAGACAGCAGAGCTTTACCTTACATGCCACACTTGCACTTTTATCTTGAACATACTTGGGGCTTAGTGTCACTGCACACAACCATATTTTTAAATAAAGCATTTTCAGTTAATCACTCGTGGTGATTTTTGGTCTGATAGGTTGCAATGCTCTCTGAACCTACATTCAGCACATGCCCCACTTTCCAAGTCACATAGTATTTGAGAGCAAGGAAAAAATAACAGACAACTGGCTAATGAGATGTGTAAATGACCTTCCTGCTCTAGAGATACCTGGTTTCATTAACTCGATATGCAGAGTTATAACATCCGACCATAAGTGGCTTCCTGACCTTCAGGGTCAACAACTCCTGTGCTGTTGTGGTTGCTGTTGTCATGTGACACTAAACGGTGGGTGTACAGTTTCAGTCAGACCAAATTTCTCCCTTTGAAGAAACAGGATGTATTTTGCAGATTCTATAAAAAATAAAATAAAAAATTGGGCAAACCTTAACTTAAAACTACTAAATGTCTTTTAGATGATCTCCAGATCTACTATGTTCAAAGGAAAATCCAAAGTAGTAACCAAATCAGATTGTACCGACTGGGGACATGCAAGTGTTCTTATATAGTATTCTTTTATAAAGCAAGCTTTGGTGTTCTTGTGAATTGTTCCTTTTACAAGGTGCTGCAGAACTCTATCTGAGCCTCTCCATTGGTTGCTTTCATGGCTCTGATCCAAGCTGCAGGCAAAACAATGGCACGGATGCTTTTACACATATTGAATTAGGGCCCAGTCTGGGCAGCCATGTAAGAGAAACCCTCGTTAGTTTGTATTCAAATTCAATAGACAAAGCATGTCTGGGGCATTCATTATGCATAGCGGGTAGCAGGACCAGGGAGACACTTACATAACACACTACCCTTTTATTCTGACCCCTGTGCAGAAAGCATTCTGCCTCGACCCCTGTGGTACTGCCTCTGACTCCTACATCTGTGCAACGTGGCACACTATGTATAAACCATGTTAGTCAGTATGCTTCAGTCATTTTTGGAGAATGCAGTATCAAACAGTAACCAAAGCCAGAGCAACGTATGAGTTACAGTTTCTCAGGGGCTACAGCCACTCATTCCCCACAGGAGGTCCATAAAGAATATTCACTGCAATTTTATATTGGGATTCATTAATGTTTTATAACAATGGACTTTTAGTATGAATGCATAATGCATCAGAGTGGTCATCTATTGGGAAGATCCTTGATCACTATTTGTTGACTTCCTTGCCTTTAAGAAACGGATACAAAACCACTTTACATGTCTGTGTGAAAGCCTGGCATAAAACAAATGAGGGAAGAAAATAAAGACTTTCAGACAGAAGCACTTCTAATAAATCAAACCAAAGTGACAGCAGAGCTCTCCAACAGCTTCTTTAGCTTTACCAGCAGAAATAGAGACACTGCTGGAACATCAGAGCAAAACTAAGAATACACGGAGGACATGTTAAACTCATGTCTCACTAAATCTTAACTGGCCCAGAATACAAATCTACCTTCCCCTGAATGTATCTTTCCTTCCACACCTTCTCAAATGAACACTCAGCTGCCTACACATTTGCAACAAACATGCTCAGCATGCTCATACTCCTCTGTGCGGTTTGTAATGGAATATCTTGCAGAGACAAACTGATCAATTCAGAGTGCAGGTAGACTTTAAAACCATATCATTATGTCAGAAAGTGAAAATTATTATTGCCTGATCCATTAATATAAACCGATGCAAACCACAACCAAGTATGCTGCTGAGATATGATTTCTGAGGCAAGAGCTAAAATACAGTTCATCAAGTACAGCAGAGTGGCATTACTTTGCTTTTAAGTCTTGTGTGTTCTTGTTTTAGAGAATAAAAGCACTTGCTTTGGATTATCTTAATACTAACTAGGCTACATTGTATACTGTTTGGGGTCTTGGCTTATTTTTGTGCTGATCACAATCCAAATGTTAAAAATAACGTACTTTAACATTCATTACTAGTTAAAAGTGTTTAGCAAGCCTAAACAAAAAATGTCCAATGCTACTAATTTCAACAGCTTATTACTGCGGATCCACTAAAGTGCTGCCATGTGTAAAACAGTTTTACACAAACCTAGTAATTACTGTCAGCATGTGCTTGATGAGAAAGGTTCCTCCTCACCTCCTGTAGTGAGTAATGTCTGAGAAGGTTTTGTAATCACAGGTGTTATTAATGAATGCATGTCATATGTCAATACTTGGTGATCATTGGAAGCAGAGAATGTAAAAAAAAAAAATCCATTCTCAAAACTATTACAGAAAAAGAGTCAAAGGAAAAGACCAATTCGGTTGATGTGCAGAGCTCCCTGCGATTTAAAATTAAAATAGCAAGGCTATTTGAGGAACCAAATGGTCTAAAAATACACGTTCGTGTCCTGACAAATGGAACTGAAGTATAAATAACAATGGCAACCCTAATATCTGATCCTGCACCTGAAACAGGGATGGGCTGATCATTGACTTACTTGGTGAGAGCACAAGTTTCTGTTCATTAAAAGCCAAAAAGATTGAACCAGCTCTGTCCTCTAAAACAGTGCACTCAGCACTAACATTGGATATGAAAACGTGGTATTTCTCACCAACTTTCTCACATATGTAAAACACATTCAATAGAGCGGTAAGTTGGAGAAAAGCTTATGTGAGAAGTTCTTTCTTTAGCCAATTTTCACTTTCTTTCAGGAACAGTCCCTGGCTCCGATACACTGGACTGCTGCACAAAGATACCTTTCATTTTCTCTTGCGTACATATTCATTCATCTTGATGGTCCAACCAATTATAACTATAGTTAACTACAGTATGTCAGAAATACATGTTGAAGTTATAATCAAGAATTGGCAGTGGGCTGACAGAGATGTGGAGATGTAGATAGGAGGACAGAGAAATCTGAGAAGAGTTTTACCTCAACAAAATCAGCTTTTTGAAAGAAAACAAGCTGACAAACTGCACCTTAAAAGAATTAGCATTAAATGTATAAATGATCAACGAAAAGTATTATAAAAATCATATTTGAGCAGGAAAATATCTTGTGTAAAAAGGTAAAAAGGCTAAAGAAGACTGAATGTTGAGTTTATATAGAAACCAAACAAGTAAAAACAAAGACAGACTTGCACTGGCATGTTTGGCTTCTGCATCTTTCTCAGGGTTTATTTTGTCTCTGACCCTTATTTGATCAGGAATTTTTATCTGCATCCATCCAGAGTTGAATTAGACTCCCCTGACATGAAAGATGGATGGGTTGTAGGAAAAAAAAGTCATGCATTTAGAATACCTTGTGTTGCTCGGGCCGAGTCCATGATGCCTGTAGAGGACAGAGACACAACAAACAAAAGGCAGAGAGCAGTTCTTACAAAGTAATCCTTATCCAGACAAAGCTGGGATGCTGCACACTGCATGCAAGTATTAAGTGTCCAGTTTATTTTCCATACATCCACAGTCCCTGAGCTGAATGTCTGATTTTGATAAAAGTCTTCACATATAATAATATGTAGGCTTTGGATTTCCATTTCAGAGAAGCCTTTATTGTGTACAGGAGAGATTTATTTTAAAAGGTGTATTCCTGGGGGATTTTTATGGGGTGTTATTGTCTGTTCTCCACATGGGAACAGCACTGCTTCTAACCCCAAAATAAGTAAGTCTATTGGCAACCTGATAGCACAAATGCTTACAGATAAGAAGGTTATTGGTTTATCGGAAAGAGGTGACTCCATTACAGTATAACAGCAGAGATATGTCGGCCCTGTTTGGCAAAAGAAGTACAGCAATTATCGACTCACAATCCATTTTTGAGGTTTACAGCAGTAATGAGTGTGTAAAACCCAATAAAGCTGAATTTATTCTAGTATCATTCTGTCCGTCCTACACCAAGAAACAACTGTAAGTACTCCAGTCATCAAGTCATTGAACAACACTTGCTGTGTTTCTCAATAAGCAATAAGGGGTTTAAAATAAGCAATTTTGCTGCAGCTTTTCCTGCACCCCATGTGAGACCTGGAAATAAATATCTGCCTACAGGTGGTCTGTGTTACTTTGAGTCATTTTGCAAGTCAGATGTTCTGCTTTGAATGCTAAAGGTACTTGTATAATAGTCTCAAATGAAGTGGCTTTCTTTCAATTGTTATGCTTTGATTCTATTCAAAGGCTAAAATAGATAAAAGATATGATGAAACATTTTCCTGTTGGAGGATATTTATAAATCAGTCTGGTTAGCTTTAAAAGTATTTATGTATCATTAAAATAGATGCACTGAAGAGTCAGTAACAGCCGCTAGTTATGGTTGAACGTTATTCATGAAATTATTCTTGATACCTATGTAGCTGAACATTATTGAGGCATTGTAGGATCAAGTTCTCATGTCTCTAATAGTGTAGTTTTCATTCAAATAATTGTACACACTACAGATGTTACATATTGTAGTCTTAGGTTTTAGGCAAAACATTAATAAACAGCTACATTTCTGACTGGGATCAACATGAATTAAACATTATTATGTTATAGAGTTCCTGAGTAAACAAAAACAAGATACATTAAGTGATTGCCGTAATCATATTGGTCATATTTCCCTCTCTCTTACTGAATATCAAATGTATTTAACACCATGACAGATAAAACAAAGCCTCTGGACAAACAAACAAAACACTTTACTAACTAGAAAACATGTCAAGTTTAAATCACAATGACAGTGAAAAAGCCCAAACTCCGACAAGACAAAAAGCTTTTGGTAAAAGCATGCTCTATGGTGATTTCATTTGATGCTGAGGGGACTCAACATGTTAAGCAATGACAATTGGGGATTGTGAATCTGCCCACATATGTGAAGAAGTGTGGAAGCGTAACAAGGACAAAAATGATAAACAGCATATATCATCAGGATGATACAGCAAGAAAATGTCAAAGCAAATGGAAGACAAATCTGCTGGATAATTGATAAGAGGCAAAACTGTGACTCAAAACCATCAATGAAACTAAAATCAGCTATATATTACACCACATATCATAATGATATCTCATAATCAATGCAGGGTTTATAAAATCAAATATAACATATGGTGTGATTCAAGTACTGATATATCACCCAACAAACCTTGATTCGTCAATTTTTACTGTAACAATAAGCACAGGTGAGGGAAGGAAAAAGAGGAGACAATAACAACACTACTGGGCAAGTCTGTATGGCAAACTTACTGTGATGAGTTGCAATTTGGAACTATGTTCTTAAGAGCTTTGTAAGTTCCTCTACTGTTCACATTAAAAAACACAACTGCGCACCGTACATCATTACAAGCAGCAGCAGCTGGCTGACATATCACCACAGTGCAGAAATTTTGAAGAGAGAGAGATAA